TGATTTAGATGGCCAACAATTGTCTCGTGCACAAGTCAGTCATCGTCTGCACCCTTAATCGTGTTTGTGCTTAGAATTTACTCACTTTAAATTCAACTGACCAGTGACCGCGGAACATACTGGTAATTACGAAATTGGACTCTAAAATCATCAATCAAACTTTCCCGTGCCCATATCAGCCAAAGTCATTTCAAATATTAATAGAAGACGGACGAGAATGTTCTTCTTATCTGTCAAGGATCAGCAAAATAAATACAAAACTTTGTGCAAGTACCTCAAACAATTCATTATATTGGATAACAAACTATAGCCAAAGAGAAGCAATATTTTTATTTTTGATCTTCATGATCGCACTAATTACTGGACACGAGGCAATGAATATTCCCGCCTCACTGCTCATAACCGTTTTAGATGTTATTAGAGCAGTAAAATAAAATATTCAAGCTTTGTTCATCGCAACCCCCCATATCACCGATTCGATATGGGATAAGTCCTGGGTGCAAGGAAACGGAAACAATGCCATTATTTTCAATGTTCATTAAGTAATTAATTAATGACCCTGAAACGCCCAATATTCCTGCATGATAAATGCAACTGACATATGCATCCATGTTGAAATATATTCTTGCGGGTGATCTTTCCCGGGATGGCTTAAATAGTGGCGGGCCCAATTATTGGGAACATATGTGTTGCCCATAATCGTTTTATTACATTTAGATCATTCCAGATACCTTTCAGAAACAGTAAAAATTTATTATATTATATAAAGACTAGAACTAAAATTCAATATCCCATATAAAAGTTAGGTATGAAACTATTAATAGTATTTAATCTGACTACACTAACAAGCTTGCCCAGTCTCAACCAGTAGCAAAGTCATGCTCCATGTAGCTACAATGTGGTTTTATCACATTTAAACTAGATCATCAGCCATTTCAGAAACAATAAACTTTTATTAAAATATATAAATACCTACCTAAATGGGATATAAATGTTTATGGAGCTAGTATTCGGACTACACTGACATTGACTGGAGCTTTCCCAGAACCCCAAGTTAGCAAAGTCGTCTACACTAGCTTTGAGATCAATGGCCATAAAAGATTATATCATGTATCTTGTCCTGTCCATTATCATATTGACAGCTTAAGAGTCAAAACACAATTCTGAATTTCGATATTTTCTTTTTTGGACTTAGTTCTGTTTCCCTTTTACAAATAGTTCATGTGTTCAAATTTACCATCCAAAGATTTTGACGGAACTTGGTCCTGTGTTATGATCACAAGATATATAAGTCAAATCCTGTAGAGATAATTCAGAATTCCAGTAACAAGAAAACTTTGAAAATCTGGGGTATCAATTGGTGAACCCGAATGTAACATTCAATTGCATCAGCTACATCACCCCCAACCAAAATAAATCTCATATTTACACATTTCATGGGAATAGAATATGTAAGTGAATTTTTTATACTGTCATTATGGAGGACCCTTGGATCCTTCATATAGGCCTCAAAGATGAATTCCACGGAGTATTTAAATATTCTATTTGATCTATATCCTGTTTACAACATTTAAAGGCATCAATCTTTTGATAGTGGTTTGTACATGTCGTGTATATAGCCATCTTAACATTTAATCATTCTCTACTTGTTTTTTTACATCTTTTCAATATATATTTATGTTTGTACTTTTATGGAGAGGGGGTCTATAGGCTTCTGCCTTTTCTCCAATACAGTTTCTGTGAATAAATATTGTTTAGAAAAAAAAATTAAAAAAAAATAAAAAAAATAAGCAAATGCGGCTCCTCCATGTACCCTAATAAACGATCCCACCTATAGGCTTCTGCCTGTTTTCCAATCCAGTTTCTGTGAATAAATATTGTTTAGAAAAAAAATTATTAAAGATAAGCAAATGCGGCTCCTCCATGTACCCTAATAAACGATCCCACCTATTTTTACAAATTCTGTTAAGAACTGTTACATGTAGAGCATTCACAAAAAATTGTTAATGGACGCATGTGACAACAATATACATAAACAACTCCCAAAACCAACTCATTTGTCAAAACATAAGTTAAAACAATTGTATTGTCTTGGTTACATTTGCGATGTGAGACTGTGAACTTTGCTGGGTGAATGTCATTTTTGTCTCCATAGGTGTACGGAGCCCTATTTGGACATGTAAACCTTCTACTAGATTTTATCTGTGATAATTGACTAAAAATAACTTTAGCCTCAGCCCCCTCAATCCCATACCTAATATCTGTGTGTTTCTGCCTACTTTGAATTCTTGCACTATCAGGTGCCATTAGAAAAAGCAGACACATCTTACGAATCATCCCTGTTGGCGGCATTCCATGCAGACCCAGGAGAACCAAGCTTGAATGTCAAAAGTTCTTCTCGCTCAACCCCAGAGATAAAACCTGTGAAGGTGGGTCCTGGGGTTGAGTTTTCAAACAAGTTTGGCCTGTAATGTATGTATGTCATGGGTATGGGTTTGCTTCCCGTGTTTGTATGGTCACATGCCTAAATTTGTGGTACATGTACTTTGCTACTACTTCTAAAGATCCAGCAAGCAAACTATTACACACTGGACCCTTTGTTCTGACTCGGGTGTTCAAGTTACTGATCAACCTGTAATGTGTTGTTTTAGCACTTGCACAGGTGATCATTTGAGGAAAAGTAGGCGTTCATATAGTTTATAAACCTATAACGGTAAACCTCTTTGATCTTTGAGGTATATTCTGTGCCCGAAATAACTTGCGGTCTGAAAGTCAGGGACGGGACCCTTATTCACGAAAACTTAAACTAAGTTACACCGAAATTTTAAGAAATACTGCAACTTCATTGGATATATGCAAATTGATTTTACTGGTCAGCCAATCGAATTGCAGTATTTCTTAAAATTTCGATTTTATCTTAGTTTAAGTTTTCGTGAATAAGGGCCCGGGTTTGGATAAATACAAGGGAATTTGGGGTTATTCTTCTGAAAGTTTTTCTTTAAGCCTGTAACGGGTTATTCTTCCAGGGTAGGTTTTTTTTCCTATAAGAAAACATGAAATAATTTTTTCTTACTGGATTTCGGGGAAATTCTCATTTTACATACAGGTAAACATAGATAATGCTGGGGAAGAAAAAAAAAAGGCCTGATCTTAGGTTATTTTCTTCAGTCTTTCTTTCCCCAGCATAACCTCAGTTTTGTGCTTTATCCTACACTGGAAAAAAGAAATATATTTTCATGCGTGCACTGTATTAGAAATAACAAGAAACACTGCACGTTGATTAAAAACGAATAAATAAATATTTTTTCAATGTAGATTGTGAAATAGTATCATTCTAAATATGTCATTAAATAGTATAAGGAACCAAATGCACAAAACTAGCGAACTTGGATAAATTTCTCTTTGGCCATTTTTTTTTAGATAATTTTAATCTTTCCTTTGGGATGTCTATTCTAACTAAAATACCTTCGCATATTTTGTTCACATCCGTATATGGTTAGTTTATTCTGTGGCTGACGTATTGTGAATGTAAAACATATTCCAGTCAATGCCGCATACCCTCTTCAACCAAATAAATATTACATTATCCATTGGCCTGTTGTGGATTTTAAAGATATTTTGCCAGGCAACGAAACATACACCCACAACAGCTAAGTCCCCGTGCAGTAAACAAGGGGTGTCGCATATTTTTCTTTTACAACAGACTAAAATCTAATTACGAATAACAACCCATTAAGTAATTGTCAGACTTGTTTGGCTTAGTTCTGTCCTATACTAACGGTTAGCACACAAAACATTAAATATCAGGGGCCATAAACCTAGAAGTATTTATCAGAAATCATTGAAAATCAACAGGATTCTTCGTCTCATGACCTTAATTGTTTAGCCTCCAGAGCATGGACACCAGGCAGGCGGACGGACAGACGGGGGCGCTGACAATATACGACATATGGGCGTATAAAAAAGCGTCGAAAACTTGAAATCAGCAAATAAGCTTAAAATACTTTTATCTATATACCAATCCAAATTTCTTAAAATTGTATTTCAAAAAGCTGACATTGGAATTATCTGATTTGTATGCTTCCGAAATAAACAGGTACAAACTGGCTATATTCAGGTTATTGACACCTTCCCCAATCTGCTGAGTAACCAACATTATATGACATGCATAAAAATATATCGATGCCTGTGATAGAGAATTGGTAAAACAATTTTGGGTGATAAAGAGCCTGTGGTAAAGTTGGATCCCTCTCGTATCCGTCCATATTCATTCACTCATTCAACTTCTTACACAAACAAAGAATCCAGTGTGTAAATCAGTGTCGACCTTGACCTCTGTCTCAGTCGATAACCCTTGCGTATCCAACCATTATGATCCATGATGTTATTAGTCTATTAATAGATCCACAATTCAGTGTCCAAAGAACAAGTATGTTTCATGTAGATCATGTACAAATTGTTAGAGTCTTGGCATTTCTTTAAGAAGAGAGGGAGAGGGAGAAATGGGGTTTAAAGTCCACTCGACACAAACTAGGTCATTTCGGGACTAACATATGGTTTAATTTTATTTCAATAATTCGCTTGCGCATAGGGGTCTTTAGCAGTGGGAGGAAACCGGAGGATCCAGAGAAAACCCACGAGGTTGGACAGGTGACCCTACTCCTTGTCATCTTTAAGAAGAAGATTACAAAGCGTAAGGAACCTGTTCCCGCTCCAAAAATAGATATTAAACCCCATTTCTCTCTCTCTCTCAAACCTGGATCCCATTTCTCTCAAACCTGGGATAGCCTAGTTCCCTATCCACACACCCAACATATGTCATCTGAATTTAGGGTTGAGGTAAAATAGTACACCCACTATCCTCCTTTTTTTAACAAAGCTGCAGGTTAGGGTTAGGAAAATGTTCTAAAATTATTTTTACACAAACTGTATCTGATCAAAACAAGTTGTTTGTTGAAGTGTCACCTATCATCTTAATATAGCTAAGAATAAATCAAATATATTTTTTTATTAGTTATTTATTGTTTACTTTTCTATTTACAACAATGGTGACAAGCAGCTGTCTTATTCTTTACAAATTAGATATTTCATCCCAACTTTTTAAAACTGCGCTGATAGGTTTTACATGTATTTATTTACAATGAATATTTGTTGTTTTTTTAATATGATAATTCCTATCTCATGGGAGGACAAAATACAATCGTACTCATGTTTTTAATATACAAAATAAACAATCTTTATTTAACTAAAGTTGTATTTTAATACCGAGCAATGTAACCAAGCCTTGAGATAAAGCACCTGGCACAGACTTTGTCCAGAACAGATTATCACACAAGTCTGGACAGACATTATGAAATGAAATGAAGTGGGGTTTAACGTCCTACCGTTCTGCTCCGACTGGGCTAATGAAGACGGGCATACACCATACAGTGTGCTATGAAGGAAATTTTGCCCTGACAGTCTACTCTTTTATTGAATTCCAACTGCCAAGGGATCTTTTACGTGCACGCCAATGTTTAAACAGGATCTTGGTTTATTGTCCCATCCGAATGACTAGACAGCTGTTCTTGTCAGGCCCTCCGTCCTGCACCACTGACAAGGGTGAAACCATGCCGGAAAATCCTGTTAACTTTCTTGACCAACACTGAGATCAAACCCGAGACATTCAGACTAGCGAGCCAGCCTCTTACTCACTTAGCCACCGTGGTTTCTCCTGCGACAGACATTGTCAGGCACGATTATTACATAATGTATATGTTATAATATATACACTGTGTGATAATCTGTGTCTGACAAACAAAACCTGTGGCAGATGCCTTATATCCAGACTTGAATGTCACTTATTATTATAATCTACCGTATATTCAGTTCTGTGTAGTAGCAAATTGTTCTGAATTGTCCATGATGAACTCAAGTAAAATGCAAATTTAATGAAAATTTAAATTTCAGCTGTATAAGTGTCAATGAACTATTGAATATTTATGATATAAATGAATGATAATTGATGATGTATGTGATGATAATTCCTCCCCAGCCATGATGCTTTCGTCACACAACAAGCCTGTAACTGACGTAACGTCCTGCTGTTTCACTAGGTCGGATAATCTTAACAACCTGAAACATATACAATATTACACATTACAAAAACTAAAATGGCAGATAATCCAAATGTTGGCTTACATGTACATCAACAAACAGCTTTGCCAGACTTTTTAAGGTAATCAGGCAATTCAAACACACTCATCTACATACAGCTTTGTGGTACATGAAGTCCTTTTGGAATCTGAATGTCATGATATCACTCAGACATCAGAAAATGCGATATTGTGAAAGTTGGATCTCTAAATGGAACATCAGTCCAAACATGGCTAAATTCCGTTCAGTATATGTTATATGTGTGAGTACATTATAGTATGGTTTAAGCCATCTAAATTCCATATTGTCCACAAAATGCAAACTGCAATCAGCGATTTTAGGTCACATCTTTTTAACACATCTTTAAAGTTAACCCAATCTGATTAAAACACAGTTCCTGTTCCATTTCATTTTTTATAGTTCAAAATTTCGTTTTACTTGTCTTCGCAACACTAGGATCTGGAAGAGTTGTTAAATAACAGGCCTTCTGGTTGATGTGAGGAATTAGCCAATGAAACGATCTGTTACGGTGAGTTCTTGGCGAGCTGTGCACGAAACTGTGGGTAAAGTCATAGGGCCAAAAGTCGCTTGTATGCCCCCCTGACGCTACCTCCCACTACAACTCCTATTGATCTTCATGTAGTAGAGGCCATCGAAAGTATAAAAAAAAAATTAAACAAAATATAGATCTGTATTTCAAACAGATTGAAGTTAACCATAATATTCAAAACATATAGCTAGGGTGTAGTTTAGATCAATTCAATCTTAGTAACAAAGCTAATATTTAACATAATCCAATTTAAATTAGGTTTCCATATATTAAATGTATTTTAAAATTTGTGCGTCATTTTGCATAATATTTAAAATATATAGTTAGAATGTTGTTTAAATCAATTCAATCTTGGTAACAAAGCTAATATTTCACACAATCCTATTTGAATTAGGTTTCCGTATATTAAATGTACTTTATATTTTGTGCGTCATTTTGCAGGTCATGCAATGACATATACATTCATTAAGTCTCAAGTTATATTGTAGCTTAAAGTAAATTATAGTTTAACAACCAAACTAGGAGACATTGACATCTGTATTTATCAAACCTGTCTCCCTAGGCGACATCATCTCAACCAATCAAAATACAGATATAGCATAATGACCCCCTCTGGGGAATGATACAAGCCAATCAAATCCTTTGTTCCTTACAGGCCTATCCCTGAAGGAAACTGCGTAGATCCTTAACATCTAATTAATTGAATAATGAATGGTTACTGGTTTCAAGACCCCCCTAGTCTAGCCCTTCACTCTCCTATAATAAAAATCTATAAAAGATTTGTGGGTTATATACCTGGGGACATATTTAAAGAAAGAACTTTTATTTTGACATTTTAAAAAGTACTAACACCGGCAGAACATTTTGATACTGGGAATTTAATTGGCCAACTTATTGCGTAATATAAGTACTTGGATTATCTTAAGGCAAGATGCTCTTAAATCTTACTATAACTATTCTACTCTGGAATATAAATATGTATCCATTGCAACTAATTAATTTTCAGATCTTTAACTGAACAACCTCTATTAAGACGTTTTTCCTGTATTTGTTCACAAGCTTCAACCATTAAAGTATATACGTGAACGGAAATATAATTCAGTAAAATTCGTAACTCGATAGGGGTTCTTCTTCGTCTCTTAATGAACAACCCCACAGGGTTTGAACAAAATCAATCAGTAATTCTGTCCTTAATGTACATAATACAAAATGGCAATGTTTCTTAGTTGTGGTTATGGATGCAAAACAACAGATGTAACCATGTATGTAAAATAATTAGAGCGAGCTGATTAAAATTTTACCCTTATTAATCTTTGATCAATGATGTGGCTCGATTGGTTCTATAATCAGTCTGGAATCAGTGCTACATATTTAGTGTTTTAATATTCCACATGATTGCACATGACAGGCGCACGCCCCACCCCTATTTTTTTGCGGTGGCGACCAATTTTTTGCTCCATATATTCTCGCGGGAAAGGAGAACAAAAAAATTTAAAATGGTAGTGATCCCCATCGTAATTTACTCCGAAACAAACCGGTTGGTGATTTGGTTGATTGCCCGTCAGTCCACCCACTGAGGGCCGGGCTACGCCCCCCAACCCCCTTTCTGAAAATCCTGGATCTGCCCCTGCAAGATGAGATAAAAATTAATAGAAACTAATATAATAGACATCAGAAGTTTTGAAAGCGGACATATTTGTATGTCTTTGGTTTTCCATATGAATTGTGTAAAGGAATTGATCAAAAGTATATTCTCTGTGTGCAAGCCCATTTTATGTTCTTTGTCTCTGATCGATGTGTATAATAAATAAGTAATGATATTTCAGTCACTATGTTAATATGCAGAAACCAACATATATCTCACTATGATATGTCAATTCAATCGATTGTCTACAAGTATAAGATTATAATATGAATTTGTATAATGGCTATGTCAATACAATATGCTGCCATCACCCAGATAAGAATAACCGTAAAGAGTACAATAGTTAATCAATTACTGCATATAACAACCTGGTCTACTAGGTCATGACATATAGGTAAAATTTAAAGAGAGGGAACCAGGGCTTTCACTTCAAAATTTTGATCAATATATTTTAGTGTTTATATGTCTCTAACTCAATATCATCCAAAGTCTTCAACATTGAAAACACGAATTATTTTTCAATTTAAATCAACATTGATGTTGTGATCTTACCGGGAAAAGATGGGCTTCTGATATTCAATATTTAAGACAAAATAAACAATTTACCATTGGTACACGAATCATGTACCATAATGTGTTTCAGCACCATTTGTAATAAGGGACCTCATATTCTTATGTGTAATAAATACTATGATTGCCATTCGATTGAGACTTCTGGCGTATTTCGCCTAACATAACTGATTTGAAATTAAGAGTAAAAACGGAAACGATTGAATGTAAATCAGTTTAAATACATTCATATTACATTATTATATGCGTTTCGATCGAATTGTGTCTATTTCTAGGTCCCAAATATTAGCGATTTAGCTTCTTTAACTAAAAATTTTGAAATTCTAATTTTATGGCAATAGCATATGTAAATGAAGTAAAAGATAAATTCCCCCCACTGGTAACTTTCTCTGGCAAATGTGACCGAAACAAAATGAAGTATTAATAAACAATATTAAACATAAGGGCTGCATACCTCCATCTAGATTGTAATCTACTGTACTTTCAATCCTAGCTATATCATACCAGTCAAATTTACCCAATATGAGACATTCTTGTATGTTTGGTTTTTAAAAATTCAAAGCAAAACACAACTATGCAGACTAATACAGGCAATTTGATTGACCATTAAGTTCATGCGATCTGGACAACCACAGCTTTAAGAACCTACGGATGCCAGGAAGGATACGCCCACATTTTGCAAGAGATGGATAGAGAACAAGCTAAACAAAAAGCAATTTTCCGTAAAATCAAGGGGCATAATTCAGGAAGTTACAATCCGATATGCACGAATATCGACAGGACGGACGGATAAACAGGGGCGACAGAATAATCTGTCCGCATGAAAATGTAGGTGTATAAAAACATGTCAGATCTAGCGATTGGCGTCCTTGTAAAACAAAAAAAAAAACCAACAAAAACTACAGTCTTTCGTTTATATTAATTCTATATGTGTAAATGTAAATGACATAACACAACTTATTGAGGCCATATTTTATTCTTTTTGAAATACTGCAATTGCTCTTTGAGCACTAAGCTCAACAAGACAATTCCAGATTAATTTTTTTTATTCTTTTCAGTTGTTTAATCCACATCATGATACCACATTTAATTATCATTTGACAATCAATCATGTCATCAAATCAAATAATACAATAGATTTATTACAGATGGTTTTATATAAAAGTATAAATGGCTTATAGAAATAAGTTCTGCGTAGATTGCTTTCAATCAATGCAAATTTCCAGCATAGGCTTTGACTTAAAAAACATTTTTTACTGTAGAATTAATCACCATTCACGGAATATTAAAATACAAGTAACTCATTTCAAGTATTAAAACCAACATGCATTGAGAAGGCATTGTAGAATTTATCTCAAGTCACGTATCAAATAAGCAGCTTTGTATAATATTATTATAATATTATTAAAAAGGCATTATGTAAAGAGCTAAATTGCAGATCTTTCTGTGGGTCTTAAATGTTATATATAAATTATCAATTAGAGTAATTAGACATTTCTTAACTTGACAAGACCATAATCAACTCTCGATGCCATCAAATACCTCCGTTATTAAATAGATTAGAAAGGTTTGGCCATTTAATGATTTATATCAAAAATGTAGAAACAAGCCTATGACTCGAATGACCAGTACGGTGGTTACAATCAATGCACACATCTACAACCATTGATATCTTCGTTCAGAAATATTATAGCAAGAACGACCAGTACGATGGTTACGATCAATGCACACATCTATAACCATTGATATCTTCACTCAAAAATATTATAGCAAGAACGGCCAGCTCTTTATCTAAATCTTACATAATGCCCCTTTAAAGCGAGAATTTCATATTTTCCAAGAAAGTCAAAACATAATTATTTCTATGTCTTTTGCTCAATAGGTTATCAACTCACTATTATACGACCATGGGCATCATTTCCCACCCTTAAAAATCATTGACACAGGAAATAATAACACAATTACCTCCCTTGTTTTCCATTGCCTCCATGCATTAGCTATGTTCAAACTTTGGAATTTGAAGTTGAAAATGATAGGATTAATAGGATTATTCTTTAACAAGGTAGGACTGTTTATGGATACCAACTATTTTAAGGCTTTATTTTAATAAATTTTAAAAATACAACTTAAAAATATGAAATTGTAGCTTTAATATAAATTAAGTTTTATAATTAGTTTGTTCAGTTATTAAATGATGTAAGTTTGAATTGAATA